CGGGAACTATGTTCGGCCGTGGGAGCAACTGTGACATTAGGCACAACAGATCATCGAAACTGCAGTCCGACCAGCCGTACTTAGCCTTCAGGATGAGTAGCTCAAGCACAAAACATAGCAGTGTGAAGTATGTCGGACATCCCTTCTCAGCATCATACATAGTCTTCTTCGATGCTTTTGTCACCCTCTCAAGATTTTCTAGACCTCTCTTGCTCTTTTCTAATATTTCTGGTCCAAAGGCCCCAAGCATTTCGTCCAAGTTGTCACCGTCATCTGCATCCCCCTCTCGTGCTTCGCCATCATTGCTGACGCCACCAGCATCATCACCACCTTGTTCATTGCCAAAGCCACCACCTTGTTGATTGCCAGTCACGATCCATTTGTTGCTCAAGATCGTCTGTGAATTAGGACAAGTATGCTTGGGTTTCAGCTTCATCAGCTAGATCATCGTCGCTGTCATCAACAACCACTGTTTCACCATGATGAATCCACACTGTGTAGTCTGGAACAAATCCTCTTCTAATCAGATGTTCTTTGATGATACTCACATCTCGAAATGCAATAAGGTTCTTGCAATCTTTGTAGGGACAAATAATTGTGTCACTATTCTCTTTCAACGTCGCTACATGCTTCTCTGCGGCTTTGATGAATTTATCCACCTCATCACGGAAAAGAGCGTCGTGTCTTAACGAACCATACATCCAAGAGTTCCTGTAGTCCATCTTATAGAAACAAAATAACCAAAGAAAGAATATTACTCGAGAATAATTGTATATACCCGAGACACGCACCATGGTAGTAGAGGATAGTTAATTAATTGACTATTAATGCATAAATATTTTAAAATATAAATTAATTGGTTCAAATAAATAATTTCAAAGAAAACAATTAGCAACATTTAATATTTCATCCACTACCTTTCATTCAAACTCCATTCCAATTTCATGGTAGAGGATAATTAATTAATAGCCTATTTATCCATAACTAATTACAAACAAACATTATAGAAAGAAATCAAAATAAATATTAAATGATAATTAGTAGCCATGTTAGAGGATATTTTACACATTAGCAACAATTAAAATCTTACACATTCACCTACATGCAAACCCTAGTCACATAAAGAAAAAATTGAAAAACAAAAAAAAACAAAATCCTAGATCTAGATCTAGATATAGGGTTTCATGACACATGCACCAAACTTTACTAATACTACACTAAAATCAACAAAGATGTACTAACAAATGGTGCAATCTTACTTCCCTACCTAATTTATCCTAGTATAGTAAAAATTAGGGTCCAATTTCACTCATAACTAGCTCAAGCTCCATGGAAGAGAGAGAAAACCAAAAATCAAATTACTCACTAACCAACGAATTAAACTTCAAAGAAAGAGTTGGAGAAGCATTTCCTTACCTTTTAGAGCCTCTCCACCAAAGGATTTGTGAACAAAACCTCCCCCCTTAGTAGAGCAATTTTTAGGAGGAGTCAAAGGTCTCCCAACCTTTTTTGTGTAGAAGAGTGTGTCCCAAGGTGGAAGAAGGGGGTGACTGCTATTTATTCGTGCGCCATCAGTAGGGGCGGCTGGTGATTGAGCCGTCCCTACAGTCAAACATCAGGGGCGGCTGGTGATAGCCGTCCCTACAAATGGGCACTGCAGGGGCGGCTGGTGATTGAGCCGTCCCTCTGAGCATCAAATTTAAATCAGTAGGGGCGGCTCAGTTACCAACCACCCTTATAGTGCCATCTCAGAAGGCGGCTGGGCTGGGGGGCCGAGGACGCCCACCGTAGGGCGCGCCCCAACCCAAATTACCCCTACAAGTAAAAATACCCCGTTCCTACTGTGCGAATCCGACGTAGTGTTTCAGCCGGAATTCACTGTTCACGGCTGAAATTCACTGTTCATTCTCTCATAAATTCCTCCAAGCGAATAGGGCCAATGTAGAAGCAATGATGGAGCCAGGGTACCACGCCCCTCGGCACCTGCCCAGTCTCCGGCGCCGATGCATGCTAGAGCTTTTCTTGTAGCACCCTCTACGTACGGCAAGCTTCAAGACACACTCTCATGTGATTTGGCCAGGCTCGATTCACAAGCTGGGTCCGCCACTGTGCAGAAGGCTCCCCTGGTAAAGCGTGTAGTGACACTTTGATGTGCATCAATGGAGCATCTGCTGGGTGGTGGTGGCGCGGTTGATGCCCTTGGACACATTTGCTTGATTGATGCTATTTTGAAGCTAGCACCGGTTCATCCGGTGATGTTAAACGACTCACTAAGCCTTAGCCCCGTTGATTGCTCAGGTGTCTGTCGATGTTTTACCACCGGCAACCCGTCACGGGGTACCCGGGACGGTGATTTGTTCGGAGGGGTATCGGCGTTTGCAGGAACTCGATGGTAAACGCAGGGAGACAATGATTTATACTGGTTCAGCACGCCAGAAAGTCACGGCGCCCTACGTCCAGTCTGGTGTGGATAGTATATTGCGCCCTGCGCTATTTGTTGTGTCGCGAGGTATGTTGTGGTTGTGAGTTCTGTCGGTTATGTGTAGGTGTAGATAGGTCTGCCGATCTAGGGACCCCTGCCCTCCTTTATATAGTCCAGGAGAGGCGGGAGTCCTAGTCGGTTACAAAGTAGAGATCCTAGTAGGATTACGTGTACTATACTAGTCCTAGTAGGATTACATGAGGAGAATCATATTTGGACTAAGTCTTCTTCTCTCTTCACCGTGGGGAACCTTATGGGTCCCGCATCGACAGTGTCTAGTCTGATGCTTAACATAAACATGCAGTGCTCTTTGTTTCTCAACATGATTGTCTTACTTTTTTCTTCACATCTTTTGTCTAGGCTTTGACTATTCGATATGTTGAATCACCTGTGATAGCTTTTAAGGCCCTCAACATGTACAAAGTGTCTTTTGAAAAAACATGTGCAAGTGTCTTTTTCTCTTTGGGGTACTTTTCTTGGGTCAGACAATCTATGGACATGGCTGTTCGGTTGATGGTTTCTGCGGCTGATAAGCCGGCTGAAGCTGATTTCTTGTGAGAGAAAAACACGGTGTCCATGGCTGATTAGCCACTTAGTTCTTCATACGAGGTTTTCCCTACTTGGGTTCACCTCTCTCTGACTTCCAAATTAGGCCTTGGATGAAGTATAATCTAGGTCTATCGCTTTTGTATCCATTAATTAACACATTACTACCAAACCTTGTCAATCCATTGGATGTTATCAATTAAACACCAAATTATGCTAACCCTAAACTAAGGTTTTTAGTTCTTACACATTTCTTTTGGTCGATGACCCCGTGCTCAAAATATTTGCCACATCTAAGGCTAAGAGAATCTTGTCATAATTTTTTCGAGTCATTACACATCAGATCTAATGTAATGTAATGGAATTGCAAAGCTTTGTGGTGGTAACCAAACAATAGCCAAAGTTGATCAAACTCATACAACCTTAGACATGGTAAATTGTACTTAGCTAGTATGACCTAATTGCACTCAATGATATTGCAGAGGAACTCTCTCCACACCAAACACATTCTATATTTTGCAACCCTAACGGTCATTCATAACAACAAAGGTATATAGTGCGTTCTCGTAAATCTCAATGTTCCCTTCCTATCCGTTTTCATAGTAGATCATAACCATATACAACATAAACTATATGCTGTTGGACATGTGTTTGTTCACACTTCCAAAAGATTTCTATTTTATCTACCAATGCCAATCGTTTTTAGAGGAGATCATCAAGGATGAACTATCCCCACCTGAATTCCATTATCATGAGTTGATGGATGGATAATGGTAGGTTACATGCGCCCATAGGCGACTGTTTTAACATAAACTAAAGAAAATATAGGGGTATTACATATTGAACAATGAGCACTGACTATTTGATATCCATCTAATTTCCGTGGGGAGTCGGTATCTCAGCCCGACTCTCGACATGGCATATGGCCATCAATCTACGCACGTTGGGAGTGTCGTCGTGGAAGATGACGCCGTTGAGGTGTTTTCAGATTTGCCAACAACAAAGGAGAGGCAGGGTGGAGAAGACATCTGGTAGGATATTGGGCGTCTGAAAGTTGTCAATGAGATAGATTGAGGGAGCAGATTTGGTGGCCAGGCGAGAGCAATCCAGACGCCCTCTAGACACAATGCAATCGAAGATAACGTGGTCTGTGTCTTCGAAGGTATCCTTGTAGATCTCATAGGAATATGATTAGTTTCAAAGTCAACAACTCATAAATGTAAATATCTTCTTAGTATAAAGAAAATTCTCTCACGAATTATACTGCGAGTCTTTCATCTCACATGTTACATAGAATTGACACACTTTTACAAAAGGTTTTAAAAATTATTGATAAACTATTCTAATATGGTTTATGTATTTCTAGACGTTTTTGTATGTGTGGCGGCTTTATAAACTTTAAGGTCTAATGACTTATGTTTTCAGAGATGCTCGATCATTGGCATATATGCGTTTGTTTATATGAGATGAATATGCGCGTGTGTCGTGTGTCTTTCTCTCTATACATATTAGATTTATATTATTTTATATAAATCTTATAATTTAAAAAGCTGTAGATCTATTTTTAAACTAGATCTAAAATTTTTAGTAAGAATTTTCGATCCAAACACCCACTAAAATCAGACTCAAGATAGAACCACCAGTCATTTCCTGCTGACTGGGTCATGCTTGTCAAGCACTGAGGCGCCGCAAAACGCAAACCGGACGGGCAGAGTTTGGAAAAAAGTTAGCCGCCGGCAGCAGGTACCCTACCAGTCAGTGAGACATACGAGCGGCTATGGCTATGGGTACCCGACGCCACGTCCCCGCAACTTCACACCGAACAGCAGAGGTAGGAGAGCAAAGAGAGAAGAAGAAGAAGAGGAAGAGCACTGCTAGGGGACAGTCGGCAGACGCGGCGCGCTCCCCTCCCAAGTCCCCCCTCCCTGGCTGGTCTTGCCGGGAGTAAGGGGAACGAAGCCACCGGCGCGGCATGGAGCCCAAGCCGTCTTCGGCGGCGCATGGTGACGCGCCCGCGGTCGAGGCCCCCCGCCGCCGTGGCGGCGGCGGCAAGCGCAAGTCGGCCGGGTCCTCGTTCACGCCGTCGAAGCGGCAGGCCAAGGAGCGGAACGCTTCCTTCCACGTGCCGCCGCATCTTCTGCACAGCGGGCCGCTCACCCGCGCCGCGCGCCAGTCGCCGCACAAGCTCGCGGGCACGTTGCCGGAGTCGGGGCCAGCGTCGTCGGCGGCCGCAACTGGGGACGGGGTGAGCGGCGGGCAGGCGGAGGTTGATGCGATCCGGCCCGGGACGGAGGAGACGCCGACCCCGGAGCTGCCGCTGGTGGACGAGATGTTTGAGGCCGTCCGATCCCGTGGCGCTGGCGTCCATGTGGTCCCTACCTTTGCTGGTAAGTCCTTTGCGCCACGAAGACTGCTGTGATCTCTCGGTTGGGCCGTGAATTGGGGATGTTCGTGACTAGTTGGGGATGTTCTGAAGAGGCGTTCTGTAGATTAGTTCACTGGGAACCATCCCCTTTTAGCTTATTGTTGTGCAATTTGAACGTTGTTATCGGTGACCAGCTAAATTGGTGTGCATAGTTGCTTCATGATGTGTTGATTACTGGTGTTTTTGGTATATAGCTTTATTTAGTGGCATGCTGTTAATTTAAGTAGTTTACTGTCTGAACCTAGAATTTTATAACATGCTGTTAATTGAAGTATCTAGCTACTTTAACTGTTAATTTGTTATGTAGCTTCATGCTGTTAATTTAAATGGTAATAATTTGCTTTTGAGGTTTCTTGTACAAAGGGGGATTGATCCATGTTGCATTTTTCTCACCGTGCATGTAACCAAGCTCAATAGCTACAATACCTGTATCTATGTCCAGTTGTCCACTCTATGGCTTTATCACTCAGTAAAGACGAATACATGTTACTTATCTAACTTATAGCTAACTTGGACAAAATCAAGGTTTGTGGCATGGACTGCAATAACTGATGCAAGCTTCCAGCCATTTTGTTTGTGTCAAATTGTTTGATTTTGAGAAATTATTCAAAGTTCTGCTCTGCTGCCAGTATCTACTATGTGCCGTTTTAATGTGTTGTCTGATGGAAGCAATAAAACGGCTGGTTAGAGATTAAAGAAACAGTTGAATCAGTAGGCCAGTAAATCTGATAGTACCATGCTCTACCCGTAGTAAGTCTGATAGTATTGTAATTTCCCTGTCTGTTGTGTGATTGCAGTAGCCCAGTAACTGCTTTGCAATGTGTTAATCACTGTATAACTCCTATTTTCTTCTAGTGTACAGCTTCTGACTATTCAAGGCATATTAGCAACCGTTTCTATAGGATTAATATCGGGCTCAATATCTCGTCTGTAATTTGTTGTTATTGTCTACTCAAGGCATATTATGATCTTTTTTTTGGGGTAGAATTGAAGAATTCAAATAACTCAGCAGACAAAGCATTCCAGTGATTCGTGCTGACTTTCAAGGTCCCACATTCAACTGTATTAGTCATGAATCTTGTTTCTCTTCTCTATTCATTGCTTAAGGTAAACTGAGCCTCAGTATGAAAAATACAAATAATAACCCTTTCTTCCACAGGATGGTTTTCATGGAAAGAAATCCACTCGGTTGAGAAGCAGACCTTGCCTTCTTTTTTTAATGGAAAATCTGAGAAGCGGACACCTGAGGTATATTTGGCGATTAGAAATTCGATCATGATGAAATTTCATGCCAATCCTCAATTGCAGCTGGAGTCCAAAGATCTGGCTGAGTTGTCAATCGGAGAGACCGATGCTCGGCAGGAAGTCTTGGAATTCTTGGATCACTGGGGCTTGATAAATTTCCACCCTTTCCCACCTGCTGGACATGAGGAGAGTAAGCCAGAGGAGAGCCAAGACAATTCTAATGATGAGAAAGCTTCTTTGATCGAGCAGCTGTTTAAATTTGAATCAGTTCAATCATATATGATGCCTTTACCAAAGAAAGAAGATGTGGGAGCTCCGCCCCCTCTGCCTAGCTTGTTTCCTGAACCTGTACTCATTGAAGATGTGGTTGCAGCAGCTGAGCCTTCTGTTGAGTACCACTGCAACTCCTGTTCAGTTGATTGCTCACGGAAGCGCTATCATTGTCGGACCCAGGTTTGGATTTTTTTTATTCAGTGCTGTAGTCCCTTCTGAAATTTTCTTGCAGCTTGTGTATACTGTAGCATTATATATCTGCACTTTGGATTCAGTATAAGTGTTGCAGGTTACAGTCTGTGGAGATACACACTGTATTATTTGGATGCAGACTGAATTCTTGTATACATATTTTTTTTTTCAGTGTTGTTTTCTCCTTTTCCCAAATTGACTGGGCACAGTCTATACTGCATAAATAACAACTATTACAGCATTGGGTATGGAATTTGGGTGCAAGTAACCTGCCATCTTATGGATTCCGAGATCTATAAACATCAATTTGATGTGACTTTATCTTTCCGAAATACTTCTCTGTGGCCTGTACTGCTTACCTCATCTTTGTGATGTCAACTTTTTCTTGTTACTGCCATTGTTTAAGAAACAGGAAGAGTTGTGTTTTGAATCTATCGATTGGTAATATTGTTTTTTTCTTTCATTTACGCAGGCAGATTTTGACCTCTGTTGTGATTGCTATAATGAAGGGAAGTTCGATCCAGGCATGGCCAAAACCGATTTCATCCTCATGGATTCTGCAGAAGTTTCAGGTGCTAGTGGTACTAGTTGGACTGATGAGGAGACATTACTTCTTTTAGAAGGTTTGGAAATTTTTGGTGGAAAATGGGCTGAGATTGCTGAACATGTTGCTACTAAGACAAAAGCACAATGCATGTTGCACTTTCTTCAAATGCAGATTGAAGACCGCTTCCATGATGGCGAAGATATTAATCAAAACATTCCAGTAAGTACAGAGCAAGCCACAACTGAGAAAGTAATTGCTGAAACATCTGAAAAAATGGAAGTTGAAGATAAAGTGGAAGGAAGAGATACTGCGGATGAGAAGGCCTCAGAGAAAACAGAGGGAAACTGTGAAGAAACAAAAACTGAAGATGCAAGTGTTGTTGTAAATAAAGATACTCAGAATTCAGGTGGCAAAGATTCAGGTGCATCTCCAAGCACTGAAGAGCCAAAGCAATCTTCTGATATAGTAAAGGAAAATTCTGCAGATGTAGATACTTCTGGTGAAAAACTATCAAATGTTGCTATTGATATCCTAAAATCTGCATTTGAGGCTGCTGGTCACAGCCCAGAATATGAAGGTTCATTTGCTGATGCAGGAAATCCAGTTATGGCACTAGTAAGTACCATACTGATTGTTATTTTTAGTTATTCATACAATATGTACTGCCCAAGGGCCTAAGATATGTCTATGCAGGCAGCATATTTAGCTGGTCTTGTGGAAGATGATAACACTACCACTTCATTCCGTAATTCACTAAAAGCTATATCTGAGGTGTCTCCTGCACTCCAATTAGCAAGTAGGCACTGTTTTATTCTTGAGGACCCACCAAATGAACTCAAAGACATTTGTGCTAGTATAAGGTAAGCAATGCTTGCACCTATTTTGCATAGAAGTGCTCACACGTTTTTTGTGATGATATAAATGAAATGTGCTCTTTGCAGTAAGAAAAATACAGATGGTGATCAAACAAAAGATGAGTATATGATTCAAAATTCAATTGATACTGAGAAAAAAGAGATCAATGAGAAAGAAGATAAGTCTTTATCTGTGGAAAAGAAAAACAATTCATCCACGTCACAAAATGACCACCAAGAAACAGACATTAAGAGCATCTCACATGATGATTGCTCCTTAGTGGAGCCGAAAACCAATAATGCTAAGGAGTCAGGTGGTTCAACTGCTATTGTAGATAAGAGTGCAACCGACACTACAAAAGGTTTAATAAGTTCCATGAAAGATTCAGTTTCCTGTAGATAATGCAAGTGAATGTGGTTTTATTAGCTTCTCCAGATGTTGATGCAGGTAATACTAAACAAGTGAATGACTTACCAAGTGGTGAGGTGGAGGCTCCTGATGATTCATCTTTAAAAGGCAAGGATGAGCTCAATAAGACTGAAGATGCAGTGGCGACACCAGCTACCATACAGGAACAGAAACACAGCCAAACATTGGAAAATGGCGATAAGGAAGGTACTTCATCTGTTTTTTTCCTCATAAAACTGTGTGAAACCAGTAAAGGATAACCACACATTTTTTTCGGTTTCAATTAGAGCTTTATGTTTGCTGCCTTTTCTATCTTGGCTTTTATTGAAAGGACGGAGTTATTATTTACAAGCCTGGAGGTGACTATTTGCCTACTCAATTACATTTACAGCTGTGAGTGATTCACAAGTTAGGCATATTGCTGACTTTGCTGGCTAGGATTCCTTACTTTACTATATATCTAGCTTCATCCAAGCGGCAGTAGATAGATCCAGAACAAGCCTTGCTGATTGCTACACTACTACTGCATGCATTTTCCCCCCTGATTGACCAGCATGAGAGTAAATATTTTTGTTGCTATTGTGTGTTACGTATTCCCTCAATCCTGCTAAGGGTGTTTGTGATAAATGGCATTGCCATCATCCATTTTCAGCTGACTTCCTTTTTATTTTCTATATATTGTCTATCTTCCAGGACCTAACAACATTGAAAGTGTAGTTGTCGATGAAGAGAAGGGATCTATAGTGACTGCCAACCAAAATGATTCCATAACTAGGCTCAAACGAGCAGCAGCCACTGCTGTTTCAGCAGTTGCTGTGAAAGCTAAGTTTCTCGGTGATCAGGAGGAATATCAAATTCGAAGGCTGACAGCACTTATGATTGAAAAGCTGGTAATATGAAAATCCAATGAAGGAACTGTACCTGCTTCCTGTTGTGTGTTCTGTAGTACTAGTATCTATGATTCTTATTTGTGATTCTTCTTTTTGTGCAGTTCCAAAAAATAGAAGTGAAGATGTCGTTGTTTTCAGAGATTGAGCAGGTGGTCCTTCGAACAAGAGAGTATACCGAGAAGACCAGAAAGAAGCTCCTAATGGAACGAAATGCCATTATTGCAGCTCGGATGGGTGCATTGCCGTCTAGGCCAAACCAGCCTGGTGTAGCCGGAAACAGGTTACCACCTGGATATGGCAACCCTCCTGTAAGGCCTCCAAACGCATTGCCACGGCCTACCAGCTGAGGAATCCGGATTCAGGACACTCAGTGATCTATACTCCATTCTTTTAGAAGCATACCTCTTGTTGTAGCATTTTTTAGAAAGTACATTGTATAATTCTCTGTATAACTGCTTGTATGAAAGTTCACCATTTTTACTTAATTTTCGATGTACTTGCTTGTACCAAACCTCCACAACTCTTTTCAACCTTCAATCAGATAGGAAAATTCCAATTTTTTACAATAAACAGTCCACTCGACCATTAACAAGATTATTTCTGCTCAATTTACTCCAAGCTATTTCAGTCAGGTCCGATCCCCCAACCCCAAAAAAAAAAAAAAAAGATCTACCCCCGTGTATAAGTTGAGTTTTAAGTTCACTTTTTGTGGGATGGCAAAAAAGGATATCCTTTGTTATAAAAAATGCTTCATGAATTTTGAATCATTATTATTATGTTTGTATTTCTAGGAGTATTAGATGCTCCATGCCTATAGAAATAATTGTGAATTCTTTAATGTATATTTAACATATTTATGTTGTGCTTTGTAACGTACTATGTATTTGGAGTAATGTTACTAACGCAAAATTACAAAAAAGAGGTAAACTATAGTAATTTGTTTGAAGTTTAGAATTTGAAAGTCAACTTAAGGTCAAACCTTTCAACTCACGCTCATTCTATTTTAGTAAAGTAAAACTTTGAGCATCAAAATGTTAACATGTTTGGATGTATGATGTATCATTTGGACCTTATTGTATTTGGGGCTTTATAGCGAAGTTTGAATTTTGAGTCAACAATTTGTATGAGGCTTGAGAAGTACTTTTTGACCTTTGAAGACCTTAGCGAGACTTCTAAAGAGCTAAAGCAAGTAGTTTGTGAGGTTACGACATGTTTGAATCCGTTCTGAATCTGGCAATTATTCTTAGGTTTCCCTTATGTCTAACTAATTAATTGCCTAATTTCCATTAGGGCCCGTCTTATCTTTGGAATTGAATTCATTCTAATAAATTACAATTTAGGCATAGATTAATTAAACTAATATAGTTGTATATGCAATATATTTATATATTTATTGTTAGATATACAAGGGACATACTTATATGTTGCATTTCTATTGTAGAGAAGTGAGTTGAAGAGTGTGCTATAAGTTAGAAAATAGAATTATAGTATAGTGATTTATAGAATCAATTTCTATCTTCCACCCTATGAATTTGAGATAGGCTTATTTGTGAGTTTAGAAATGTTATGGAATGTTAAATTCCAAACCAAATAGCCTAATCCGTTGTGTACATTTCAATTCATCCAAAATGAAAGGATCCAAACGGCCCGTTAGAGATTTGAGACTCTTGTAAGTTTTCATTATATTCTAATATGCTTATCCCCAATACTTCATTCTCCTTATATCCCCTAAAACTGTTGTATTGGGGTCATTGTTCGTTGCTTCAAAGTCTCTTTCAATGTCTCTTCCTATTTTTTTTTTGTGGCCACCAATATTTCTGCCTTCCTCCCTTTCTTCCCTTTAAATAAAGGGGTTAATCTCTCCCAATAGCATGTGGTCCATCCCAACTAGGGATGAAAACGGATCGGATACGAACGGATATTACTCATATTATATTTGTTTTCATATTTACTCGGATTCTTTCATATAGATAACTAGATACATATCACCCCACGGATTGACTTGATTCTGGATACTGAATAATGAGTATCGAATACGGTATGAATCGGATTCTAGAAGGTCTACAAATATCTATTCGGATATTGAGTAAAATGATATATATATATATCATAATACCATTACACCACTCTATGAGTCCATAATCCATCTAGATTAAGCCGAAAGACTAAAGAGTAAAGCAACAAATAAGATAAAGATACGATACATCAAACATCATATAAACTAATCTTGGACATGAGTAGAAATAGCCAAGCACATTGCTTCATGGGTCTTATGGAGTCATGGTCATGGATTCAAGATCTACAATCCTTATATAGGCCATTTTTTCATTTTGAGAAAGTTTGAACAAAATGTAGTTCAAATTTCACAAGTGTGTGTGACATAGTTTTAGAAAGTGCAGATGAGATTTAAGAATTTGTGACTAGTGTTTGATAAAACTTTCTCAAATGGGAAAATAAGCTATGTAACAATTGTATATCTTGCTGAGATGATCAAACTTGGTATTCAGAGTTTTTTCATCTGAGGTCATTTAGTGTCTCATTTGAGCAAGTTTGATAAGTCAAATTTGGTCAAATGAAAAAACAACACTGTGACTCTAGTATTATGAACTCTAAATGACTTCAAATTGAAAAGTTTTGAATACCAAGTTTGTTCAACTCATCAAGATCTACAATTCTTGTTTTGGTCAACTTTCCATTTGAGATAGTTTGGACGGTTCAAATTTGTGATTTTTAAATTTCGATGCTTACAAACTAGTTTTCGAACTCTAGATTGTCTCAAATTGAAAAGTTTTGAATACCAAGTTTGTTCAGCTCATCAAGATCTACAATCCTTATATAGGCTATTTTTTCATTTGAGAAAGTTTGAACAAAATGTAGTAATCAAATTTCACAAGTGTGTGACATAGTTTGATAAAGTCTATATGAGTTTCAAGAATTTGTGACTAGTGTTTGATAAAACTTTCTCAAATGGGAAAATGAGCTATGTAAAAATTGTAGATCTTGCTGAGATGATCAAACTTGGTATTCAGAGTTTTTTCATCTGAGGTCATTTAGTGTCTCATTTGAGCAAGTTTGACCAAGTCAAATTTGGTCAAATGAAAAAACAACACTTTGACTCTAGTATTATGAACTCTAAATGACTTCAAATTGAAAAGTTTTGAATACCAAGTTTGTTCAACTCATCAAGATCTACAATTCTTGTTTTGGTCAACTTTCCATTTGAGATAGTTTGGATGGTTCAAATTTGTGATTTTTAAATTTCGATGCTTACAAACTAGTTTTCGGAACCCTAGATTGTCTCAAATTGAAAAGTTTTGAATACCAAGTTTGTTCAGCTCATCAAGATCTACAATCCTTATATAGGCTATTTTTCATTTGAGAAAGTTTGAACAAAATGTAGTTCAAATTTCACAAGTGTGTGACATAGTTTCAGAAAGTCTATATGAGATTCAAGAATTTGTGACTAGTGTTTGATAAAACTTTCTCAAATGGGAAAATGAGCTATGTAACAATTGTATATCTTGCTGAGATGATCAAACTTGGTATTCAGAGTTTTTTCATCTGAGGTCATTTAGTGTCTCATTTGAGCAAGTTTGACCAAGTCAAATTTCGTCAAATGAAAAAACAACACTTTGACTCTAGTATTATGAACTCTAAATGACTTCAAATTGAAAAGTTTTGAATACCAAGTTTGTTCAACTCATCAAGATCTACAATTTTTGTTTTGGTCAACTTTCCATTTGAGATAGTTTGGACGGTTCAAATTTGTGATTTTTAAATTTCGACGTTTATAAACTAGTTTTCGGAACCCTAGATTGTCTCAAATTGAAAAATTTTGAATACCAAATTTGTTCATCTCATCAAGATATACAATCCTTATATAGGCCATTTTTTCATTTGAGAAAGTTTGAATAAAATATAGTTCAAATTTCACAAGTGTGTGACATAGTTTCAGAAAGTCTATATGAGATTCAAGAATTTATGACTAGTGTTTGATAAAACTTTATCAAATGGGAAAATGAGCTATGTAACAATTGTAGATCTTGCTGAGATGATCAAACTTGGTATTCAAAGTTTTTTCATCTGAGGTCATTTAGTGTCTCATTTGAGCAAGTTTGACCAAGTCAAATTTGGTCAAATGAAAAAACAACACTTTAACTCTAGTATTATGAACTCTAAATGACTTCAAATTGAAAAGTTTTGAATACCAAGTTTGTTCAACTCATCAAGATCTACAATTCTTGTTTTGGTCAACTTTCCATTTGAGATAGTTTGGATGGTTCAAATTTGTGATTTTTAAATTTTGAATAAATATCCGGATAATATCCGTTTTTAAATATCCGGATATATCCGATACTTATCCGGATTATCCGATATCCGCCGGATATCGATGATATTACATCCGTATTTGATATCCGCCTAAGATATCCGTTTTAGTATCCGTATCCGAAAAAAAACCGGATATCCGAGTAACTATCCGAATAAGTGTTCATATTTGTTCGGTCGAACGGACGGTCGAATAAATATCCGTACCGTTTTCATCCATAATCCCAACCATCATTTTTCCGCTATCTTTTTCACCTGTAGGCTCCATCTTTCATATAGAAACTAGAAGAACACCCCGCGCGTTGCTGCGGGAATCGCTGGTGAAATTATACTACTTATATTTACTAATATGATTTAATAAATATCATAATATATTTTAGTGGATGATTTTTAGCATTCTGATGTGGACTAAATATACGTTAGTAAATGATGTGGTTTGCTAATGTAAATAATGTGGACAACTAAATATATGTTAGTAAATGATGTGGTTTGCTAATGTGAATAACTTGAATGAAGACGTAATGGTATGTGTTAGTGGATGTTGATGTGGACACTTTGCATTGCGAGATGGTTAAATGTGCTAATGAGATGTTCTAGTGGATGCTGGTGTGGATAATTTGCATGGCAAGATAAATTGCTAGTGGGTTTATCTTTATAAAAGATATATATTGTGGGAGATATATTGGGATACCGTTGTAGCAATTTTCCTAATATTCACAAAAGTAATATTGGCTACCTCAATATATCCATATTGGGGGATAGATTATTGGGAGACTGGTGGAGATACTCTAATAGCTTTCGAACCACAAAATCAGTTTTGACATTTACCATGATCAGTGTATAGAACCATAGAAAAATATTAAAAATCGGATATCAGAATTGGAGTTTGATATTGAAAAACTTGATTTTTAGGGCAATCTAATACACAACCACCAGCAAAAGCTTGCTCCACGAAGAGAACTAAATCGTTTCACCACTGAGAGCAAATTAGCACTATGGTGAGAAAACAGATGATCCTAGCTTGTGCTGGGCCTAGCCTCGGTAGTCAAGCTGAGCATCGAATCAAACATTCCCCATTAAGAACAAACTAGCACTATGGTGAGAGTAATTAATTAAAATTTTGAATCGTTGAGCTATAAACATATGCAATAGACTAACAAACAAGGAATTGTCTCTTTTGTATCATATATGGGACACCATACAATGATGTGAATAATAACCGTGAACAGTGTTCTAATATTGACAGGGGAAATCCACAGAGAATGAAAAGAATTACAACGTTTCTCATTACTTCAGTAACGACGACTTTAATTATTGATCAGTGGTTGCTACTTTACCTGGCTAGGTTAACCTAAACAGAGCTGGTGTACCTTTGCTTGAAGTTGTCTTAGAGCCCAACATGAGAACATGAATAGAGGCTGCCGAGTATGGTGTTGAGCTACAAAGGATTGTTAGGTAGCTGGGAGCGAGTAATCGTAACATGCAAGAAGGTTCCCTTCATTGGGATGTGAATGTTTCTGTTCAATAAGTTGCTCAATCAAAATTTGCTACAAATGTGATGCCCATATCTTTATGACTTCCGTAACTGATTCGTATGATATGTTTTTGTGTTTGTAACTTTTGTTCCCAGTGTTTTGATTTGATGATTCAATCTGTTTCTTGTACAAATAATGCCATGAATTCAATCTGTCTAGGGGAAAAAAATCAAATGAGTATTTTTCCCAACAAAACTTTTGTTCCCAGTGTTTGTTGTACAAATAATGCCATGAATTCAATCTGTGTAGGGAAAAAAATCACATTGTATGAGTATTTGATAGCATAAATAATTTTACAATTGTTTGGGTGGCTACTTGGTGAAGTCTTTGTAGCTAAACTGCTAGTTATACCTAGGAATATGCATAAATTACAGTTCATTGGTTTCACCTGCTCAATTATTCATGCCACATTTTTAAAGGAAAATTTTATCCACCATTATGTTTCTAGCTATGTTTGTCATGTCTAGTACATCGCTAGTCCGTTGAGGACGGCCTAAGATCTTTAGATAGACACGTTTTACAATGCTCTCACGGCTGCAAACGACGAGGTGAACCAGCTTCTGAACTCTGGGTTCTGGCCGGCCGGCCTCAAGCTCCCAACGGTCAAAATGTCCATTAACTCCGATGCTCCCAACGGTCAAAAAACCAAAAAGGGTAGCCAATTTGAACGCAGGTCGGCTGAGCCATGCCTTGCAGCATCCACCTGTGCTGCTGTGCAAGCCGCGTACGTAGACCCGTTCCGGTGCGGTTTGGCCGGAGACGTGCAGCCAGACCTACATGTCAGTGAGATGCTGTCCAGAGGACCTAGCCTATCTCTCGGATATGCCGTACCATCCCCTCTGCCGGAATCGAGGCAGGCAGAGAGGCGCCCGTGCTCCCCCATTCACGAGCCAACCATCCCCAAACACGCGGTGGTTATTGCGCCCTCTAACTGACGCGTGGGGTCATACCTGTGGACTCGGAGCGACAGTGGCCAAGCAGAGTGCAACGGCTGTACCCGGAGCAAGTGAGAAGTATCGCATTTTGAAACTGTGATGGACCCACGACCGAATTGACGGATGTACCCCCATCACGCCCCACTGTTGATGGCTTGATGCCGGCCTGAGTCAGTGGCAGAAGCGCAAATATTTGAACAATCCGAGGGCCATGCTGCCTTCAGCCCCCCGAACTTTCCCGCCTGAAACCCTCTCGCCTCCCTCGCCGTCTCCTAAAATATAGGGCCACAGTCCGGTACCCACTAGTCTCTGCTCTCGGCCTGTAACTGTTCTGCGTTCCCCTTCGATTTCTTGCCCCCACTGATTTTTTTTGTACTGATTAATTTGTCTTCGCTCGAGGGAAAAATCAACTGCCAAGGTATTTGTTTTCCTCTTCGAGTTGCTCTTGATGGAAAAATCAACTGCTAATCCGATAACTGCCGGGAAGGATTTCCTGGCGTTTTTTTTCTTTTTCTTCTTCTCTTGTTTTGGTACGAATTTCTGCGGTACGGCAATACTTTTATCTGAATGCTCCATCGGAAAGTGCGATTTCCGCATGTTTTATCGCAGTCTCCTAATCTGTGTAGCTAGTTTGGCACTACTTGTGGTTTAGGGTTCTAGTTTCTTTGTGTGAGGTAGTACCAGTACTGATCTGATGAAGTCGGGATGAAATGGGGTTTAGGGTTTTAGATCGATTGCTGATTTGGGATTCTTTGTTGAAACATTTTGGCAGGGTTTGATCTGGTGGGCGACCCATGGTGGAAGGGATGGTAGTCGCCGTGCCGAATGGGGTGAAGGCGGATGGCGCCCTCGCCGCCGCCGCCGCCAAGGCAGATTCTCCTAAATCCGTTCTGGAGGACGAGGTGATTATCTGGCCTAGCAGATTTGTCTGTTCTGTGTGCCGAAGTTTTCCTAAGTGTTTTTTTTTTACCTTTTGGGCTGTTTATAGTACTGACTGGTGTTTTTTTTTGGGGGTTGCAAAATCAGAAAATTTCGGAGTCGAAGAATGGGAACGCCTCCTTTGCCACAGAGACAGTTAAGCAGGAGAAAGACGATGAGAGCTCTGACGATTTTGTGGATGCAAGTTCGTCCCTGCCTGTTCACCATGAAATCGACAGTGCTGGTGTGCCCCCTGTTGTTAAGGCAGTCAAGGACGAAGAGCAGCTTCTGGAGCCCGTCAAGCAGGATAAAGTTGATGGTTTCCTGGATGCAAGTTTATCTATACCTATTGACCTTGAGGCCAAGAATGGTGATGTATCCCTGATCACAGAAGCAATGAAAAAGGAAGAAGAGCAGCTTGAGGAGGCGCGGATTAAAGCAGAGGAAGAAGAGGAAGCCAGGAAGAGGGAAGAAGCTGCAAAAATTGCTTTTGATCCTAAGGCGCGGTATAGCAAATTAGATGAGCTGCTGACGAAGACACAGCTATATTCAGAGTTCCTGCTTGAGAAAATGGATAAAATTGCTGATGTATGCATCTTCTCATTGTGTGCTGACTGTTTTTTATGCTTCTTTGCTCTATTTATTTGTGTTTCTTTGCTGATGATCATGCTGTTGCATGGTTGTTAACCAGGAAGTCGAACCTCAAGGTGAAGAGTCACCAGTAGAGGAGAAGAAGAAAGGACGTGGCCGAAAGAGGAAAGCTAAGGCCACACCACAATACAATGATGTGAGTGCAGGATTCGTAAATTGTTCCCTGTCTATTTTTTAATGGTGTCTTCTATAGATAGACTATGCGGATGTTATGTTGGCCATATAATTACTATCGCGATATCTTGTCTGCTATTCTGAATTTCCACCAACATGCATTTTTTTTGTGCATGTGTGGGAATTATGGCAGGGATGACAATGTGCTGGTTTGTTCAGTTGTAGCATCCTTCTGTTGTACTTCACAAACTAAGAAAATATAACTGAAAGGTGTTTGAGGATGGGTTCAGCGCAGGTGCATAAGAATTAGGTTGTCAGTATATATTTCATGGTTTGTTTGATTGTATAGAATTATTGAGCTTGCTCTGTAAGCTAATACACAAGAAAAGAAGGGTTGACAAATGACTAATATTCGCATATTAAACCTTATGTTAGCTTTTTATCAGTTCTGACAACCATAACAACCATAAACAAAATATTTTTTCAGAAAAAGGCTAAGACAGCAGTGGCAGCCATGCTTACAAGATCCCGTGAAGATCGCCTTGCTGATGATTCTACACTCTCGGAAGAAGAAAGGTGTAAAAAAGAGCAAGCCAATCTTGTGCCTTTAATGACTGGTGGGAAGTTGAAGTCATACCAGATCAAGGGTGTGAAGTGGCTAATTTCGTTGTGGCAGAATGGGCTAAATGGGATACTTGCTGACCAAATGGGCCTTGGGAAAACAATCCAGACAATCGGATTTCTTGCTCACCTGAAGGGGAAAGGCATGCATGGTCCATACTTGATAATTGCTCCTCTTTCCACTCTCTCAAATTGGGTGAATGAGATCTCGAGGTAATTATCTCAAGGCATTCTTTCAGCACCCTTATCATCAATGTTCTAATGCTGAGACACTTGATTCCAGGTTTGTTCCATCTGTTACTAGTATCATTTATCATGGAGATAAAGTGGCCCGGGCAGAGATAAGAAGAAAATTCATGCCTAAAACTGCTGGTCCTGATTTTCCTATAATAGTGACTTCATTTGAGGTTGCCATGTTAGATGCAAGGTTTCTTGCTCACTATCAGTGGAAGTACGTCGTTGTGGATGAGGTGATAGAAAAAACAGATGCTATATATTATTGCTCTTTTATGGCCTTTTGTCTATTTTGTATTCACGTGTCAGATCTATGGTTTCTACAGGGGCATCGGTTGAAAAATTCTAAGTGTAAACTATTTAGGGAGATGAAGCGCATACCAATGGCTAACAAGCTCCTTTTGACTGGGACACCCCTTCAGAACAATCTGGCAGAGCTGTGGTCACTATTGAACTTCATTTTGCCTGATATATTCTCATCGCACCAGGAATTTGAATCATGGTATGATTCACAGAATCACTTCAGCTGGCCACCATTTCCCATTTGTACTTCTTATATATGTCATTCCATTTGTAGTGTCAGTTTTCAGCACTGAGGCACAAATACCAATTACTGGATGCACTTTTGCACTCATCAGTGATTTGTGCAAGCTATGCATCTATACATAGCGTAAATCTAGAAAAGCCAGAACGACTTACAATTTGGAATAGAGGAAGTAGAATTTTGGCTTAGCTTTCATTTTATTCTGGTGTGCTCTTGATAGCTTTGTTAATTATTTCTTGGTCATTCAGATTCATAGAGGATTGGTTCTGGTCCTTAAAAACTATCTTTGTTCGGTAAACCGATGCAATACATTCTGTTAAAAAAAGTACCCAAGTGCATTCTCAGTTTCATCACCATGCTTTGATATACATGGTTAGAGACATTGAATTAATAAAGCCTGTAAATGCTTATTTGGATGTCTAACCCATAAGAAGGTTGCTCCAGTTGAAATGCAATTTCCTAGAGTATCAGACATTCAGACTTGTGTATTGCTGATATATTGTGCACTCACACACCATATTTGTTGCCATGTCTGTTGAATATCAATAAAGATGCACCAATGGCCCATTTATATTTGGTTCTGAGTTCTGACACACCACTTACCAAAATGCACTGATGGTCCTTAGTAATATTAACATGTTTCTGAGGAATAACAATATATAGATGGATGACAATTACATATGTATAACATCACAACCTGGTCATTCTTGATAAGTATAAGTATTCTATGCATTATAGTTGATTTGTTCTGCCTCTTGTGATGACACCCATCTTCTTGAAGGTTTGATTTTTCTGTGAAAGGAAGTGAAGAACCAGAAGAAACTGAAGAAAAAAGAAGGGTCCATGTTGTTTCAAAGCTTCATGCCATTTTGCGTCCATTCCTTCTGAGACGGATGAAGGAGGATGTAGAACAGATGCTTCCACGGAAGAAAGAGATAATCATTTATGCTAACATGACTGAGGTTCAGAAGCGAATCCAGGATCATTTAGTTGAGAAAAGCTTTGATGTCTACTTGAATGAAGAATCAGATATTGGTATCACATTCGCATTTATTCCTGTTTATTAGACTTATATTCCATTACATGTCTAATTTAATAACCTTGTAATTTGACATTATTTTGGTTTCCTGTAGTGCTGCGGAAACCTGGCATCAAGGCAAAGCTAAATAGTCTCTGTATTCAATTGAGGAAGAACTGTGCCCATCCTGATCTTTTGGAAGCTGCATTTGGAACAACAAGTATGCCCACTTTTTTTTTTTGTTAGTTTGCATGCTTGTTTTCTTCTGATTTCTCGTTACATTGTTGTCTATGTGTTTTTGCAGGCCTGTATCCACCTGTTAATAAGCTTTTAGAGCAATGTGGCAAATTTCAGCTTCTGGACAGGCTACTAACTTCCCTTCTTGCACTCAAGCACAAGGTATGGTTTTATCATGAACATGTTACCGAAGTTTGTTTTTTATATATTTCTGATCTCAACTTTAGATCAACTGATATATATTTGTAGGTTCTAATATTCTCACAATGGACAAAAGTTTTGGACATTCTTGAGTATTACCTAGGTTCAAAAGGCCTCGGGGTTTGCAGAATTGATGGTAGTGTTAATTTGGAAGAGAGGCGGCGGCAGGTAACATGCTAGCCTGTGTCAATATATTACTCCCTCCATCCCAAATTATAAGATGTTTTGCCTTTTCTAGATACATTACTTTTGCTACGTATCTAGATATAGTACAGCCAAAACGTCTTATAATTTGGGATAAAGGGAGTACTATTTTTCTAAGGAGCATCTAAACTCTGAGGAATTGCACTATGCTTGGTTGTACTGTGTTAGAGATTTTGGTACATGTATAGGTTAACGACTTTTTACTTGCACCATTCTGATGGCACTTGTATGTAATCACACATTCTTGAAAACAAAAAAAAAGTCTTTTTGGTGATTGTGACTAGTGTAATGTTATTTTGTTGATATATACTGTTTGTGTTCAGTACGATTGTTATTGAGGCTTCCCAATTTCTCATTTCACATCAGCACATCCAAATGGCAAATTCTTTAGTTGTCCAGTGCATCACGCTTTTCCTCCAATGATCCAACCACAAATTCTGAAAATCCATGATTTACAGTAGCTAGGAAGCACAGCACTACCTGTTGTTGGGTAAACACTAAAAGAGTTAAAGTTGCTTTTTGAGCTTTTGTGTTGCTCCTTTTTTTCTGCTTGATGATCGTCTATCTGTCGCTACTTTTACTTCACAAAAAATCTTTTGCTACTGTTTTCTGTCGCAGATAGCAGAGTTTAATGATTTGAATAGCAGTCTGAATGTCTTCATTCTGAGCACGCGGGCTGGTGGGCTTGGTATCAACCTTACTTCTGCTGATACATGTATCCTATATGACAGTGACTGGGTAATTCTCTGTCAAGACTATTATACTAATCAGAAAAAAAATGTTCATAAGAAAGCCTATTTTTTTAATTAAAAGATGTGTTCTTGCTGGCTACTTCCGTTGGCTGCTGATTGACTTATTAACCTGCTAGTTCTAATATGCTGTACGTATACTTGATCCTCCAGAATCCTCAGATGGATCTGCAGGCCATGGATCGATGCCACCGGATTGGTCAAACACGCCCAGTGCATGTATATAGGCTGGCAACCTCACATTCTGTTGAGGTACAGTTCAATGATCTGTGTTTTCAGACTGGTCACTTTGGCTATTGTCTCAGGATTACTCAGCTTTTCACCATTTGCAGGAACGTATCATCAAGAGAGCTTTTGGGAAGTTAAAGCTAGAGCATGTGGTGATAGGGAAGGGACAGTTTGAACAAGAAAGAGCAAAGCCTAACGTCTTCGCGGTAACCATTTCATCATAACTCCCAAGTATATTTAAGTGGTTACTACTGCGTAGACGACAACAAAGCAAATGCACATTGGAAAACTGTCGTTGGCGTCTTTTCCCATGGGATGCAGGAGGGGGAGCTGCTGGCGCTGCTTAGGGACGAGCAGGACGAGGAAGACCGGATGATCCAGACCGACATCAGCGACGAAGACCTCTTGAAGCTGATGGACCGGAGCGACCTGTCCGGACCACCTGGTGCTGCCGATGCCACACCACTGATCCCGCTGAAAGGTCCTGGCTGGGAGGTCGTGGTGCCAACCAAGAGCAGTGGCGGTATGCTCTCGTCGCTCACGAGCTGAGCGATGTCGGCACCATGTTTGGGTGCCCATTTTGCTAGTCACTCATCAAGCTGACGATGAGGCGCCTGTTGGCCGATGTTCAGGCGGATATTTAGCATATATGCCCCAGAAAAACTGTTGGTCTGGATGTTGAGCCTGCAACAAGTAGGTTAGGCTTGCTGTGAACTTCTGATGAGTCTCTGCAAGCTGCTTTTAGCTTTCTGCTGTTCTGTTGCTGCGTTGCATTTACAGCTTCGTCCAGAAATAGTAGCTGATGGCTTGCTCCAAAGTGGAGCCGGATGTCATCTGTATGATAGTCCTCTGTTTGTTTCAACTGCTATGCCTTGGAGCACAAAATAGTTTAGTGTCCTTGTTATCGGCAGAAGGTCTGCACCATTTTTGTGAGATGTGCCAGCGTGTGTGTGTGACCTTGTGGTAGTCTATGTACAACGAAGGCCTGCAGCTTGGCCTCATCGGCGAGAGCATTCTTTGCCACTGTCTGCCAGCTGAGGAGGTTGGCTTAGGAAGTTAGGAACGAAAGCGTTCAAACGTGGTTGGACTGTTTGGGCTTTTTCCAGGCTCAATAGATAAGCCCATGCCATTTTCGGACTGCGTTCTACTGCATGCTCCGACGGCTTTCTTTCCACTCGATTCGGACTATAGACTCGTAGAGTGCTTCCGCTCTCTGCGGGTCTGGGAAGGGTGTCAGGGACAAGTTTTGTCCTCGCCTATGCAATGTGAGGAGATCGTGACTCGAATCCGGGATCTTTCGGTCAAGGCAGTAAGACTCTACCGCTTGCACCAGACCCGCTCTTCTCGATTCGGACTAGAACTACGATTACTGCCTCTGTTCGCTTGGCTGATAAGTCATAGTTGAAAGTATCGTTGGCTGATTTGTTGTGAGAGAAAAATATTATTTATTAACTAAAAAAGTAAATCAAAATGAACAGGACGTACGAATTTGCGCCAATGAACACCGAGCAAGGTTTAGCGCAAAATCCCTCAAGTGCTTAACTGCAGTCGGACTTGAGATACGTATCGGACCAAGCATGTATAGTGCGGCCAAGAATGCATATATAGATATATCCCCGTCCTGCTGCGCGAGCAAACACGCAAGCCCTGTTGGTTTAACTTATCAGCCGTCTACCGTTTTAGCAAAACAATAGTAAATCAATATCAGCGTAATATCTTTCTCTCGTAAAAATAAGCATCGGTCAACCGTTTTTAAGCCAGCCGAACATGGCCGCAAATACCACCATCGATCAGTCAAACTCAGGATCTCGGAGAAGAGCGACTTCGTGCGGATCCGGTGACGTACGGCGATCGTCGAGAATCGAGATGGAGTCTGCTGCCGCGTCCGGGTGCTCCGCCGCGCCGCATGCCGCCGGCGCGCAGGGGACGACAGGCATTTGTGGTCCGGCTCAGGCTGCCCCGCACCTGCGAAGCCTGGCACTTGCGATCGTCGCGAACCTGAGCTGAGGCCCTCGACCTCCGATCTCGCAAGCCCCTCCTCTCCTACTCCTGTCGGCGACTGCAGCAACACTGCTTCGTCCTCCGACGTATGCAAGACACCCTAATAACATCTTCTGACATATGAAAGACTACGTTCGTTTATTGGTTTCAGCCAGGGCTTATCAGTCAGCCAACAGTGTTTTTCTCTCACAATAAATCAACACCAACCGGGCTTATCAGTCCAGAAACCAACCAACGAACAGGCCGTATGATGTCCTCTCACATATACAAGACGTCCAATGGCAACCTCTAGCGTATGCAAAGACTCTCCAACAACATCCTTTGACATATACAAGACTCTAGCGACATCATCTGATATGCAAGATGGTCCTGATAACGTCCTTCGACATATGCCAGACAAGCCATTGGCATCCTCTCACATTGCAATATGTTTCTTAGACTATCTCCAACAACTCATGCATCACGGCATGCAAACCCAAAATGTCTACTCCAGGTTGCTTTATCGGTGGAAAATGCGGTCCAACAGACGAAGCGAATGAGGGACCTATTTTGGGAGGGACACGATGCACGACCCAAATAAGCGTCGCCTCTCTCGTCGAACCCAAATCTCTGCCGCCGCCGCCGTGGGGGCCATTTGCACGGACGTCGAGGTCGAATCCGTCGTGAAAGGGGCGCCACCACGCCCAATCGACCGAGTCCGCCCACAGCTGACCAGAAGGGGAGAGGGAGCCACCACCGGTGGAGGAGGAGCAGCCACGACCGCGCGCCGCAGGTGGGGCAGGAGGATGCACGCGCCGTCGGTGGGGAGAGGACGCCGCCGCGCGTGGGGGCCATCTGCACGGATGTCGAGGTCGGATCCGCTAGGAAAGGGGCGCCGCGGCGCAGGGTCCTGACGAAGGAGGAGGACGAGGCGCCGGCGAGGAGCGGGCGCCCTCGCCGCCGGATCTCGCGACCACCGCCACCGGGAGCGGGCGGCGGCGGGCGTCGAGGCGGCGGCGTGGGAGGGGCGAAAGACGGTGGCGCAGGAGAGGCGGCGTAGGAGGCGGGAGGTGGGGGGGCGGGGCGTGGGCGGGCGCAGAGCGAGCAGCAGCGCAACAACTTCTGCTGGTCTGTCGGATCTCGGGCGGCGAAAGCGGGCGCGCAGCGCCTGACGCGGCGGAGGAAGCACAGCGGGCGCGAGGACATGCGGTGCGTGGTGAGGTGCGGGCAAGACGGGGACAGGTGGAGGGAGGTGGCGAGGCGTATAAAGAGAGGAGGGGATGGAGATGGGTGGGCGGCGGAGAGACCGAGGAAGAAGATGGCTGATTTGCGTTGGCTGTTGGAGAAGCTAAATTTTGGATGCGAATCCTTTTTTCCGTACATGACCCAAGCCAGAGAATGGGTAATGTGTTTATGTTCTCGTTATTGGAGACAGCCTTATATGACTGTAGCTCCGTCTATAATATTGCATAAATGTTTACGCCTTTAGCTATGTGCGGCTACATCGACCTCGACTACTACAATGATCGATCGGCTATCTCGACATCGGCAACTATGCAACAACTCCAGTCAAAGGGTACTTGTCATCGCTGTAGTCCATGACACTCTCACTGTGACCGCGGGAGGGAATACAGGAGAGAGAAGTGATGACACCAGAATGGGACGGAGGCACTGCTCTAGGTGATAGGCCGTCCATTAGAGACGCACTTGATGATGGATAAGCGAAGAAGACGGTGAAAGCTCAAGACTCCATCTCGCGCTCGTGGCAGCCGGTTCCATTCCGTTTATTCTCTGCCAAGTTCGTCGCCAAGAGAAATGCACGAAATTTTCCGTGGCGACTATGCACGTGGTTATTGTGATAGATGAAACAAAAGAAATTGTTTTGCAGTCGATAAGTTCCCTTAGATAGTTTGAGCATTTGACGATATTACTAGTCGTCAAGTGTGATGTTTGATCCTGTATGTTCTAATTCACAAAACGTATCTAGAAAAACCATTGGACGGATGCAGAACCAGATTGAAGGGGGCTTAGTCTCTTCTTCTTCTTCTCTCTCTCTCATTTTTCTTCTTTCCTCCACCTCTTCTTCTCCCTCAGCCTCCCCATATTTCCATTGATGCACTAGCTGTAGGGGAGCCCCCTGTAGATCCGCCCCTGAGAAAAACCAAAACATCTTATACTTTGAATCTAGGAGTATTTTTTATAGATTTGATCATATTTAAAATTATTTAATTTGTCGAAAAGCAAGAATTGTATTATTTTAGATGACCCTTCATTTTAAATTATAAGATGTTTTGTTTTTTCTAGATACATAGCCTTTAGCTATGCATTTCGATATCGGCACTGCTAGCGCTCGGACGTCCGCGCCTGCAGTTCGCTTCCCGCGCCATTTGACGCTCCCACACGGGGCCCGCGCCGCCCGGAGGCACCCATCCGAGAGGTGCCTCAAGTCGTCGCTGACCACTACTACAGGGGCGTGGTCTACCCGCCGCCACTAACCGCCGTGGAGTAGAGAAAGACCACCAGAAATCTGATCCACAACGACCAGATGGAGATCCACTGCACTCCCTCGATCTACTTTTAAAACATCTAGATACATCACTTGTAACATACAAAAGACGACAGATGAAACACTTGAAACATGCTTCTAAAATACTTGAAAAAACACTTGAAAACTATTGCAAACAGTACACTTGCAACGTACGTCCAAAAATACAACATATGACCGAAAATACAGATGAAACATTGGTAACAGACCTTTTCAACATACGTGTATAACCATTGCAATATATGCAATGTCCATCTGAAACACTTGCACCATACCTCTGAAACATCTGAAACACTTAAAACATACTCTTGCAACATGCGCTTTCAGCAAAACCTGGCAGCGGTGACATGCGGAGCACTGCACAACGGGATCCGGCTGTGCGATCGCGGTGGAGAAGGAGGATGGCAGCGGGCAAGCGGCGGCGTGGCCTCCGGTGAGCGGCGCTGACCCCGGCGATAGGGCGTGTGCGGTGCCCCGGCGAGCCATGCCCGTGGTGGAGGCGATAGCAGCAGTCGGGTGGGTGCGGTGGGGAGGAAGGCCGGCGGGAGACGCGGTGGAGAGGAAGGCGTGTGGGAGGCGCGGCGGAGCACGGTCGCGGAGCGCAGTCGCGGTGATGTGTTTTTTTTATAAACTGCGGTGATTAGAGGGAGTGGATAGGATAGCCGTCTGGACGTCGGGGTCCACCAACATGAGCGTCCGGCGTAGACGAATGTCTGCTTCCCAACATTACCGTTTAGATATACACTAGGTCTAGGTATATAGTGAAAATAATGTATCTAAAAAGACAAAATGTCTTATGATTTAGAATAAGGGTAGTAATCTTACAAAGAGTGTTAAAATAAGTGACCATGGGTTCATCTATCCCAATTCCGAAACGTAGAAACAGTGCCGAGCAAAAAAAAAAATCTATCCGTTTACCCAGCGCAACATGCTTGCCGTCATGTGCCCACAGGCACGCACGGCAGCGCGGAGCGGTGCTCTCCTGCACAAGCCGTTTCGGCACGTCCCAACTGATCACCAGGCC